CACTACGTAAGAAGAGAAAAAAAGAGACAAACATATCATTATGCATAAATCATCATTATTTATAACAATATTTGATTTGTAAAACTTTTTTTAAAAGTGTTTTATTATTTACTTTTTTTTTTTTTTTGTAATTATTACAAAAATGCGCGCCTGCATGAATGCAACCCTCCAGACATATTTGGAAAATGTTGCTTGCTAGCGCCATCTAATGGGACGGAATTTTTTTTCTACTGCCCGAAAGTTAGGCAACCCGTCATACATACGTGTATAAACAGTTTTGAGTGGAAAAAAATTCTGTCTCAGTAGATGGCACTGGCAAAGAACATTTTCAAAGTGTGTCTGGAGGGTTGCATACGAACAGGCGCGCGTTTTTATAATTAAATTAATAATTAAATAAGGTCGTGTCAAAAATTTCTTCCTTTTTTTTTTTTTTTTTTTGATAATAAGTTGAACAATAATATTGTATGCGAATTATAGATTTTTGATTTTTTTATTGTTTGCACGTGACGTTATTACATTTATCTCGATATACTTTTTTTTTTATTTTCTCTTCTCTTATAATAAATAAATAAATAAATAAATAAATAAAATAATGGTATCTCGTTATCTCGAATTGGATATCAGGAAAAGGTAGTAGAAACGTATGATGATAAAATTTGTCGAATGAAATTGTTCGACAAATTTGAAACGTAGATAGAAAGAGATGAGAATAGGCTATAGTGAATTGTCGATTAAAACATAGCACCAGGTGAGAAGAGACTAATTAATCGAGGTCATTTCACGCTTGAACGTGGTAGTAATCTTTTTACACTTTCGTTTATGTTTTTTGTTTTTTTTTTTTTATGAGAAAAATGAGAAGTAACATTCTATGATTAGTCTTCGTTAAAAAATATCTCTACCTTTAACCATAATAGGCCCCCACATACATGGGCTTTTGAAAAATCCTAGGTAATAATTAAAACTTGAAACTTTGATTAATTATTTTGTTTCTTTTTTTCTTCTTTTTTTTCATAATATTAGCTAGAATAAAAAATTATTATTATTATTATTACTAAAATATTATATTATATTATATTATATATTGAAAAATAAATGATTGAATTTAATTGAATTATTATAATACGAGATGGAAATGTTCTGATTGAAAATTATGCAATTTATATTTGAGATGGATATTTCATCTTACCTGGGTTATACCATCTAAGAATAATTACATTCAGTATTAGGATTGTAATTAGTAAATGTAATCCTTTATAACCAATAGGGGAAATACCCTTAAATGTAATATGAAATGACTGTAAGTAAAAATAAGACGAAATGAAATTAGTGTTTCAAGCAATTATCCAAAATTCTTGTTCAAAAGTTTATTTCTAATGTTCGTATTAGACACATACATTGATAACATTGAAAAACACATTCATATAATCAACACGGTTACGAGCATTGAAATCTCTGATAGGAAAAGCACATTTACTCGTTGAGTAAAATAAATCAAAATATATTTTTTCAAAAGAAAGAAATCGTGCACGATTTAAATTTGGAATTTTATTTCTTTTTTCTTTTTTTTTTTTTTTTATCACTTGACTGAGCATAAATCCCTTAACGATATTTGATCGATATTTTGAAACGAAAATAGTTAAGAAATTGAATTAATCAATACCTGCCATGAGCACATAACAAATGAGATTTCTCTCGTCAGAAGGTAAAGATATCAAATTATACTATATTTAGACGATCGTCTTGATCTACAAATATTTTTCAATAATTTCATGGATATATTTATAACAAAAATTTGCAAATTAAATCAAAATGTAATTTACTTATCCCCTATTATAAAGGATTGATTATCCTTTTCTGCTAATTACCAGGGTGAACCTAAAATTGTAATTGAAATAAAATTCATTAACAATCTATATGAAATATTGTAGAATATATAATACTATGTGTATAAATATAAATATAAAATAATAATATATAATAATATATATTTTTTATAATATATATACATATAAAAATATATTATTATTATTATTATTATTAATTGACATTAGGAACTTGAAAGTTCATTGTCGCAAATAACCAAATCCCACCCATTGTTCTCGTCCCTGAGTGCAATACTTTCATTCGTAAAAATATATAATAAAATAAAATACGAAATTAATATAATACATATATTAAATAATTAATACAATATAATATATAATGAAAAAAATCTGTATGAAAATACGTAAATGATTTTGATTTATCATCTTCGTCTCATGAAAAATAGATGAAGTGGGAGTGGAAGGACTAATAAAAAAAAAATAAAAAAAAAAATGATACCCTATATAAATGGAAAGTGTACATCATA